ATATTCTCTTACAAAAGAACTAGAGTATCTTCTCCCTTCTTTATTGTTTCAACAGATTTGACCTTCCAGTTGGTGAAAAAATAAATTATCCACTTTGATAAAACTGAAAACATCTAAAGCACATTCAAATAAAAACCTTACAGTTAGAGATGTGCAAAAGCTCAATTCACCTTTTGGAATATTCTAAAACTACAAGTGTCAACTAGGCTTTCAAAGTGGTTTCTTTAGTAATTTTGTGAAGTATATTTTTGCAACTCATCATTAGAATGAAATTAGGTATTTATTGTAACATTATTTTTGATTTATTCAACAAAGCTGGAAATAGTGTACATGATATTCATATATTGTTGTCTGTTTCTATGACTTAAAAAATAAAATGGAAGCAAGCTATCATAGAATTCCATTCTAAAGGCAGGATATACTTCAGATTTCATCCAACTCCACCAAACTCTCAGGGTAGTTATAGCCAAAAGTAAACTCCAGATGCCAAATCATGCATTTTAGGTCAGTTCTTTCCCATTGCACCTTATTTCCTTTTCTTGAAATACCACCCCCGACAAACACATCAATTAGTAAACCTAGTAATTAATTACAGGTTCAGATTTCCAAGAAACTTTTTATACAAGTTCAAACTGCTATCTCACAAAATGATCATATCAGTATCTACCCTCTGCTGAAACATAAACTAAATTAATAATTGGATACAACACTGCTTTATGAAAAATTTTAATCTTCTTAATGTTAAAATATTTTAAAATTCCAACTTTACTATTTCAAATAACAGTATCTGGACATTAATAAATATGAAACAAACAAGCAAACAGTTAACAAGGGAAAAAGGCATACAGAAAGTACTGTCTGTCAAAATACAAATTCATTTTCAATACAAGAATCACTGAACCTACTTATAAAATATACTAATCACCAGGCATATTTAGTCATACCCATGTTTACAATATATAGATGTTAATCAAAAGAAGCAAATTATACCAAATACAATTAAATCAAAAAGATGATGAGCCTAAAACCAAAGCTAGTTATTTACTAAGAACCAAGAACTGCTCTCAATTCTTTAACGTGCTGGCAAACATCATTCTCCTCGCCAGCAGCAGAACAACTTTCAGGGAAAAATACTCGAAGGGCTTAGAATGCATCCTGACTTGGCCCACATGAAAGCAGGACACTGTCGTGAGAGGTATGGAGGATGATGAGATCACATGCTTCCTGGCTCTTGATCACATCGTCCACATTGGAACTGCTGTGACGGTCTGATTATCAAACCGCCAGTGAGCTGGGAGACTGAGAGATAAATGCGGTCCAAGAAAAGCTCTTATCTGTCCACCTACAAACGTGCAAAGTGTCAAGTAATATCTCGGTAAAATAATCCCTAACAGGCAGTCCATTGCTTAATGACACCACACCCTGTCAAACTGAAGACGAGACAGCCAAAGCCCTATGCATAATTCATTAGGGAAAGGAAGTCCAAAAAAAGCTTCCAATAAATTACATTATTTATAAAGATGGAACATTTTTGGATACGAAGAGCTATTTTGAAGGATAGCAGAGGCTATGCTCAAGTTTGGGTAGTTTGGTTTTTTCAATTTTACATATTCTTTTTATTTCTAGATGTTTTAGCTATATTTCTCAAGTCTGCCTGAACATTTTGAATAGTGTCTGTCTTAGATTTCCAGTTCTTTCTCTCACGTGTTTAATCACATTGAACAATTTTTTGCACCTAATCATTTCAATTAACTCAAGTTCCTGCCAGTCCAGTCCTGTTGCTTGATACGCCTTTGGACCTTTGCTCCCACACCGCTGCTCCTATTATGGTCTCCAGTAAGAGGGTTTCTCATGCGGGAATCCCATGCAGCTTAGACTGGACGCCCTGTCCTCCCATACAATGGCTTCTGCCAGGAACCTGGAAATGGCCAGCCGAGGTCCAATTGACCTCTGTCTGTGGCTTCCCATGAATGTGGGTATGAACTATAAATCTGCACTTCAAAGCTTTACAAAGACGGATATATGAGAGCAGATTCTCAAGGCAGCAGGCCCTCTGACTCCACAGGCCTGAAGTCAAACAGATCTTATGGCCATAATTCTGTGTGCAGGCTGATGACTCCCAGATTCCCCATCTCTAAACCAGACTTCACTCCTAATCCTCAACTCCTGTAACCGACTGTCCACTGAACTTGTCCCTTCAAATGTTTAATAAGCATCTTAAAAACAGCCATGTATAAATCTGAACCTAATTCCTGACCCCTTTCCTCTTTCTCTACTATCCTCCCTCCTTAAACAACCTGCTGTAGTTATCACCCTTCCAGACCCTCAAACAGCCCCATCTTTGGCTCCTGAGTCCTTTAAAAACCCCGAGATTTGAAAGTTTTTTGTTTTGTTTTAATTCTTTTTTCCCTCTAGATTCATTTATTTATTGAAAGGCAGAGTTACAGAAAGAGAGGGAGAGAAAGAGAGAGACTTTCCATCTGCTGGCTCACTGCCCAGATGGCTGCAATGGCTGGGCCTGGGTCTGAGGCTGGGGAAAACCAAGAACCCCAGAACTCCACCTGGATTTTCACACGGGTGGCAGAGGATAAAACACCTGGATTAACTTCCATTTGTTTCCAAAGTGCATCAGCAGGGAGCTGGACTGGAAGTGGAGTTGCTGCAATGGGATCTGGTGCTCCAATAAGGGATGCAGGCATCAAGGCAGCATGTTTTCATTTTTTTTTTTTGAGATTTATTTGTTTTTATTGCAAAGTCAGATATACACAGAAGAGGAGAGAGAGAGAGAGAGACGAAGATCTTCCGCCTGATAATTCACTCCCCAAGTGATCACAATGGCCAATGCTGCACTGAACCGAAGCCAAGGGCCAGGAACTTCCTCCAGGTCTCCCATGAGGGTATGGGATACCCAGCCTTGGGCCGACCTCGACTGCTTTTCCAGGTCACAAGCAGGGGGCAGGATGGGAAGCAGAGCTGCCGGGATTAGAACTGGCACCCATATGGGATCTAGGCACATTCAAGGTGAGGACTTTAGCCGCTAGGCCACTGCACTGGGCCCACAGGAAGCATCTTAATGCCACTTACCCCGGCTCCCCATGAGTTTTCAACAGCTTCCCTACATTCACAACTGATAAGAAGTTGCAAGTTAATGTGTCCATTCCCAGCCTCAGACAAGGAAAACTCTTAATTACTTCAACATGAATTAGCATTTAGAGAATACAGTCAGGATCCTAGGAGTACTCACTACTACTGCGGTGGCCATTGTTTCCTGGTTAAGTCGGAGTAAAGAGAAAATCTGCCATCCAAGCTAACTTTTATTTGTCTTTCTTTAGACCTCACCAAGTCTGAATTTTCAATAATATCATTACCATTTATTACTTTATCTTATAAACTATGCACAAAGCCCTCAGAACAGCAATATCAACACAAACATGGTATTTTAGCCACTATAACAATTTAGGATTGCTTCTGGGAGATGCTTTGTCCTTCAGATACAAACCTATTAAAGATATAGTCAAATTTGCTAACATCTGACATAGTCCCTCCCTGTATGATTATACAGCATCTCTACAGTTACATTCACCTGTTTCATCTTGCTTCAATTTTCAGATATTTTCCACGGTATAATTTTGCTTTTTAATTATGGCAATTATATATGCAGTTCTAAAGAGGTAAAACAAGATAAAGTCAGAAAACTCTGTGTTTATTCATTTCTACCACAAGGTTGTAGTACTCCATCAATACTTTCATTGTTGCATTAAATTTTTTTGCTTTATCTTTTAAAATTAAGTATAAGTACTGACTTGAAGAATACTACATATCTGTCCTCACTTCTCCCTACTCTTTTCAAAATCTTAATTTTTTCAAGGTTTATTTTTATGTGAAAGGCAGTAATACAGAGAAGAAAGAGAAAGAGAAAAGAAAGAAAGAGAGAGAGAGAGAAAGAAAGAAAGAAAGAAAGAAAGAAAGAAAGAAAGAAAGAAAGAAAGAAAGAAAGAAAGAAAGAAAGAAAGAGAGAAAGAGAGATTGATAGATCGATCTTCTATCCTTCCAATTCCCAAATGGCTGCAATGGCTGAATGGCCAAGAACCTCGAGTTTCTTCAAGGTCTGCCACATGGGTGCAGGAGTCCAAGGACTTGAGCTTTCCCAGGCCATAAGCAGGGAGCTGGGTGGGAAGTGGAGCAAGCAGGACATGAACTGATATTCTCATGACATGTTGGTGCCACAGGCAAGAGACTAGCCTACCCCATCATACTAATAGTTCCTCTAATCTGCTTTTATCATTGAAGGTCACTCCATGGCAGCAAAAAATAATACTCTTCAATGAAAAAAATCATATACTGGCCAGCGTTGAGTGTGTTATCACCTTCTGTTATTATAAAAAGTGCCAGCATTGATGGTCCCGTATGTATATTCTTTCTTATTTCCTCCAATGTAACACTAACAGGGACTTAGCAGCAGAGTTGCTGCTTACAGTCCAGGGTTATGTGTCAACTAGCTGATCCTCTGCCTGTAAGCACCAGTATCCCATATGAAAGTAAATTTGAGTCTGGGCTGCTGCTTCATGTTCCAGCTGCTCCACTTTGGGTACAGCTCTCTTCTGAGTCTGAAAAAAACAGTGGCAGATGGCTCAGGAACTTAGGCACTTGTCACCCACATGAGAATCCTACAAGAAGCTCCTGGCTCTGGCCTGGTCAACCCTGGCTGTTATGACCACTTGGGGAGTGAACCAGCAGTAAGAAGACTGACCACTCTGGGTCTCTCCCTCTGTAATTCTGACTTTCAAGTAAGTAAGCAAATCTTGAAAAAAATGATTATACACTGAACCCAGAAAACCTCCTCTGCATCTTGGAAATTTATTTTTATATAGCTTACATTAAATAACAAAGGGACACATATCTGATTCTTCTATGCATCATATAACATAACTGATTAGGAAAAAATTAAAATAATTAAATAACAGTAAATCATACAAGACAACATTAATATACTTGCTCACCTTCCTTTTTCAGCCATTTTACAATGTTTCCTTCTTCCATTGTAGGAGACAGTGATGGCATTAGTATCTTGATAGGATCAACTGAAATAAAAAAATGGGAAAGATCAGCCATACAGAAGAATGCACCCACTGAGGCATCAATATTTGTTCAACTACATTACAATAAAATTCTGAGTAAGAAGATACTCTAAATTCTCAGACTCCTGACCGGCAAACTAAGTATACAGTAAACAGTATATAGTATAAAGACAATTATTATCAATGTTTTATTTAAAAATTTACATTTTATTTCATTCCATTTTAAGAGTTATAGAGAGACAGATGGGCAAGAAAGATCTTCCGCCCACTGGTTCACTTCCCAGAAGGCTACAGAGCCAGTAGCCCTTCTGGATCTCCCACCTGGGTGCAGAGGCCTATGGGCCATCCTCTTCTCAAATACTTGTGTACCTGCCACTCAAAGGGAAGAACTAGGCTGAGTTTCAGATTCCTGGACTTGGCCTTGCCCAGCCTTGGCTGCTATGGGTATACAAGGGAGTGAACCAGTTGATAGCAGATCTAAGCTTTTGCTGCATGTCACAACTAAACAGATCTAAAAAGGGCAGGTCTCTAACTAGAGAAGTCTTTCAATAAAACCTGATGAGTCTTTCGTTAGACAACCAAAGCGAACACATATTTATTTGTCAGTTACACTGCCCAAAGTACAGGCCACACACCAAGTACAGTTTGAAGAAAGGTTACACCCATCAAATGCCATGTTAATGATGCATATTCCCTGTAGTCTCTCCTGACCATCAAACAGGCACAGTACAGCAACAGTACAGGCACAGTACAGTTATATCTGTAACACAGAAGAGGGCGGAACAAGGCTTTTTGTTGTGTTTTATTTGCATTAATGTATTTGGGTTAAAAGCAACACATTTTAGTACTAATATTAAGTGCCAATATTCCCTTTGGGAAACCCAAGTTTGTCATAATTTTCAGTGGCAAGTTGCTATGATTTCATGATAAAGGTGCTGCCCACCTTCTCAAGGACATGGATTAGGACGAAAGCTTTGGTCCACTGCCCCGTCAAAAGCCCTGGGGCACATGGCTGCAAGCAAACAAACCTCTATTCTCTGCTCCTTGGTTCTGAAGAAGTTCCTGCCTAAGTGGAACATGTGTTTTGCCCTTGCTTCTTCCATAAGTTAGGCATCACAGAGCCACCAGGCCAGCATTTCCAAGGCGCAAGGCCACCTCTCTGCTCCCATTACCAGGGCTCACTGAGCAGCAGGTGGTGACTCAGATCTTACTTTGTGCTTCAAGCACATGCTCTTTATTTCAGATGAGAAGCTCGGAGTCTGCACTTGGGGTTGCTCTGGTGGCTTCACTGGGGAAGGCCACAATTCCCAGGCATGTTCTCCGATTCACGGTAACCAGCGACTCCAAGATCTCCATCTGCCTCTTTTCCGCTATTTCAACGGGCACCAAATTCTGAAAAGGCTAGAAAAGAATTATGCCCCTACCCTTACAGATCCAACAATGATGGATCCTAAACCACACTCCAAATCAGGATGCCCACTTCATCAGTGAGATCACTGTAAGTTGACTGATGAAGGGATGTGACTGTCATGGTGGTACTATACTAGGAAGTGTCACTTACCCTCTGTGTTCTTTACAAACATGCACCATCAATTAACCAATAGCTGTTTATTGCCTATTCTACAAACACGGTAAAATAGACATGTCAACTCATGCAGTTAATAAAAAACCCTAATAATTCCCTCCCTCCATACCTTTGGCATAGACAACTCTTGATTTAAGAAACACGTTTACTACCTATATAAATATTTCAAATGTACAAGAGAACAGGCAGACTTTGGGTACATTATGCATTGGAAGCCCAAATCATGTTTCCTAAATCCTAATTTACAACTATAACACAGTTATTTTAGAAGAGATTGGGGCACATAAGTCATCCCAATCCTAGCTCTACAACTGTCACCACAGGATTCACTCCATTCCCAAGCTAACTCCAGCTGAAAATTTAATTAGGATACAGCTTTGAAAAGCCTTTGTATTCTTTTTAAAGTAAGCAAGCCCTAATGGATTGAAACAAGCACATTATATCATGAAGTAACGTAAAGTTTTATGCTTTACCTCTAGTTGTTGCCTATAAACACTGGAACACCAAATGCTTAAGTGAACTAGAGAAGCAGAAGACACGCACAAACACAAACACCATAACTTTAGTGTTGTGTCTCCTAACACAAACCATACCAATGCTATACATAACTGCAATAAGCTTGGAAAGCACTCAAAGCTTAATACTCATTGTCATATGATTTGAAAATTTAAAAAGGAGCCTTCAAATCTCCAAATTATGCTGTGCTATTATCTTTTCCATTTTCACATGGCTTGATGAACACAATAAAAACATTTATTTGCCTACAGAAGGTATAACCAGCTTAACTTTCAGCATTTATTGTTTCAAGCTCATAGTGACAAACGGGCGTTACATTATAAAAATAAATCTATCTTCTAAGTAGTACCATGGTAAGAGGTCAGCCTCTCAAAAGGCATCGCTCATCAAAAACTTCCAATTTGCTCCTTTTATCAAAAAGTCCAAATCTGGAATTATGCAAAATAATAAACTCCTAAAGAATTTATATGTTAAAGAAGGTTCCAGTCACACCCAGCAAAATAAAATCTCAGTGATTCTACATGCAGATTCTATTTTATGACAAATACTAAACTCCTTCAATACAGTTTCTCATCCATATTTTTACACCTTGGTTCTAGTGGCCATGATATGATTGACATTTATTTTATGATTCTATCTCCTATTATACACTTTCACCTAAGGGACCTTCATATTTCCATTATTCCTCACATTAAGGTTACATAATGAAACACATACTTGTACTGTTACTTCCCAAAAATACCACAAGAATCTCAACATTTTTCAGATTTTAAAAATAAAAGGAATACATATCATTCCTCACACAGTCACCCTTCCTGGATGAATTAGAATTGCTTTTCTGCATAATGACAATGCAGAAAAACAATTTCAGGGCCTGGTGTGGTAGCCTAGTGGCTAAAGTCCCTGCCTTGAATGTTCCGGGATCTCATATGGGCACCAGTTATAATCCTGGCAGCCCCGCTTCCCATCCAGCTCCCTGCTTGCCGCCTGGGAAAGCAGCCAAGGATGGCCCAAAGTTTTGGGACCCTGCACCTGCAGGGAAGACCTGAAGAGGCTCCTGGTTCTTGGCTTTGGATCAGCCTCAGCTACAGTCATTGTGGCCACTTGGGAGTGAATTATTGGACGCAAGATTTTCCTCTCTGACTCTCCTCCTCTCTGTTTACCTGACTTTCCAAGGAAAATAAAATAAATCTTTAAAAAAAAATCCAAAGCAGATCATTGCCCTCACTCAGAAATGAAGGTGACAAAAGCCAAAGATAACCTGGGCAGTGCTGTCCTTTGAGACCAGCTCATGACTGACAACACTGGCTTATTCTAGAGAATGTGTATAATACCTTTGGATTGCTCTCACCAATATTACCTCAAATTTGAATGTCAAGAGAAATCATCAAAACATAAGCATTAATTTACTATTAACAATAGATACATCATTCTGGTATATGCTCTTAGTATTACAACAGTATGCCTCCTACCCAAATGTGTTTCTCCAACAGAGAAGGAATTGTACAGTCATCCTATCGCTCTGAGTGACAGGGCTGTGCACAGCGAAGGCCTGCCTTTGGTGGCTGCTGTGAAAGCTATGAAGGTGGCAGGGCCCTTTCTAGACTCCCTGGAATGCAACCCTGACCTACACCTAACATGACTTCAATGCACTCAGATGTCAGTTACAGCTTCTCTCTTCTTTCCTGCGAGCAGCTACTCCTTCGTTCTCCTGTCAGACCAAGACCACTTTCAAATAGCCTCTTCCTTACATGAACTGGGAACAACCAAGGATTTTCACGGTGTTTTAATTAGAACTAAAAAAAAAAATACTCAAAATTCAGTAAGAATTAGTCCTTTTATAGTTATTTTTGTAGTTTGCTCCTTTTCATAAAGTTAGCAAGTTAAATCTAATTGGCTTGTTTAAAACTCGGGAGTAGTATAGCTAGACGTTCTTGTTGAGGCATCCTAATTTTTAAAGTACAGCCTACAAATCATCTAGACCTGTCTTCGCCTTTCCAGGCTTCAGAAGACTGACACAATACTTTTGCAGAGTACGCTGCCATAGCGGCCATGGGCGCACACTGCCAATGGCAGCTTCTCAAAGCCTGTGTTTCTTCAAAACTGCTCTTCAATTCTTCTGCACGGTACTATTGTCTTTAATTCCAAACACAGAGCATAAAGCCCATTCTCATCTACTGTCTTCTAAAGTATTTCTTTTAGCCTAAGAACAAAACCCTCTGGAAGCTTTAAATGATGATTTCCACGAGAATTCTTAAAGGTCTCTGGATCAAAAATAAGATCAACACAAGCAAATCTCAAGATGCAAATGTAGAACAAACTCTTCTGTGGCTAATATGAAGCAGATCTAAGCTCCATTATGCCAACTGAAGTAATTAAGGAAAATTAGCAATTTACGTATGGCACAGCTTATGCGTCATGCTCTAGCCCATTTACAGGCTGATAATGCCAGCACACAGAATCGAGAAGTACCAACAGACCAAATGAAATCAATTATGCTCTCAGTGTGGCTCCCCATCCCTAGCTAAAAAAAAAAAAAAAAAAAAAAAACCTGCTTATTTGATCACTTCTCTTTCCAATTCAGGGCTAAATAAAATGGACCTTCTCAACTGCTGTTTAAATAAAACAATTCTGCCATTTGCAGGCTGCATACAATAAAAAAAACAGAGAAGTACAGTTCGTGTGACAATCAGCACTGGGACACAGAACAGTGTTAACGCTGTAGCTGTGAACAAAGGCAGCTATGGAAGTTTTATTTATATTGTTAGGCGTGGTTAACATACGTCAGTTTTGTTCAAATACTTGTGTTGGTGGGGTACTGTGTAAAAACAGGTTGAGAATGCCAATGGATCACAACAGGAAGTAATACACAACACTTTTATGAAACAGCATTTTGCTAACA